GTATGGTTATGTTGCTAGAGGGTAAGTTTCACTCTGTGCGAGCGCTCTTTGACTTTTGGAATTCTCTCACTTTCGCCTTTTCTGGCTTTCTCTTCAACGACATGCCGTTCTTGCGCTCTGACACCCGACAGGCTGAAGTCACGCCACATTCAATTCATCGCTCTTGGTGGTACCATCGGCACTGGCCTGTTCCTTGGTATTGGAAAGGCGTTTGCGACCTCTGGGCCGTTATCCGTACTGCTTGGCTATTCTATCACAGGTAGGACTACCTACCGGTCTAGCGAGGCATCTACTGACAAGCGCAGGCGTTGCCGTTTGGGGAATGATGAACTGTCTCGGCGAGATGACTACTTGGCTTCCTCTGCCTGGAGCGATCCCACAATATTGCGCACGTTACGTAGATCCCGCGTTGGGATTTGCCATGGGTTGGAATTCGTGGTATCAGTCCGCGATCACGCTATGTGCTGAGATATCTGCTGCTGCTTTGGTCATTGGGTTCTGGTAAGTCACTGTATCATGTCCAGCCTGAAAATAATGACTTACTTACCTCCGTCCCTAGGAACGACGACATCAACCAAGCCGCATGGATCTCCATAATCATCGTCCTCGTCCTCTGCTTGAACATCTTCGCTGTCGCCATTTACGGAGAAGCGGAATTCATTTTCGCTTCGATCAAGATCATAACGATAATTGGCCTGATCCTCATGGCTCTGTGTCTTGACCTTGGCGCTGGACCTAAGCATGACCGTTTGGGCTTCAGGTACTGGAAGGTAAGTCACCACTCCGACATTCACACGGAGTTGGTAACAAGCTGACGCGAATAAAGAACCCCGGCGCAATGAAGGAATACATTGGCACAGGCGATACCGGTCGCTTCCTCGGCCTCTTCGCCACGCTCGTCAACGCTGCGTTCTCTTACGGTGGTGTGGAGATGGTTGCCGTCGCCGCCGGCGAGGCTGAGAACCCGCGCCGCAACATCCCCAAGGCAGTCCGCCGGGTCTTCTGGCGTATCCTCTTCTTCTATGTCATCGGCTCCCTTGCCATCGGCGTGCTTGTGCCGTCCAACGACCCCCACCTTCTTTCCGAGGCCGCCGGTGCCGCGCGCTCGCCTTGGGTTATTGCCATCGACCGCGCCGGCGTGCGTGTGCTGCCAAGCATAATCAACGCGGTCATCTTGACGAGCGCAGCGTCTTCGGCGAACGCCTTCCTCTTCACAGGATCTCGATACCTGTTCGGATTGGCGCAGAACGGACAGGCGCCCAAGGTCCTGCTCAAGTGCTCCAAGACTGGTGTTCCGTACTACTGCGTCCTCGTCACGGCATCCATCTCGCTACTGACGTACATGAGCGTGTCGAGCGGCGCCGCAAACGTCTTCCAGTGGTTCCAGAACTTGACCACCATCGCACAGCTTATCACCTGGTGCTGCATCCTGGTCACCTACATCCGCTTCCACGCCGCGCTCAAGGCCCAGGGGGTCGACCGAAACACCCTCGTCTTCAGGTCTCGCTTCCAGCCTTACACGGCTTATGTCACGCTCGCCTTCTTCATCGTCATCGTCCTCTTCCAGGGCTTCGCCGTGTTTACCACTGGTAGTTGGAGTGTTGACGACTTCCTTACTGACTACGTCGGCATCCCCATCTTCCTGGCTCTTTATATTTTCTGGAAGGTGTTCAAGCGAACGCCATTCGTCAAGGCGGATGAGGCCGATATCTGGTCTGGTAAAGCAGCGCTGGATGCACAGGTCTGGCCTGAGGTCGCACCGAGGAATTGGCTTGAGAAGGTCTGGTTTTGGATTGCGTAAGACTGAGCAATGAAGTGGTACGTTCGGCGGAGGAGGCCGATATCTGTCCTGGTAAAGCAGCTCTGGATGCGCAGGTCATGCCTGATGCCGTATCGAGGAATTTGCATGAGAGGGTCTGGTTTTGGGTTGCGGAAGACTGAGCAATGGAAGTGATATGTTCGGCTGAAGCAATTGTCGGATATTGCTAGCGTAATTCATGCATAAGTGTCTCTGCGCTGGGCGTGCAGGCACGGGGAAGTAGACGGATATGAGTTTATACCCACGATGTTGCGTCGATCCCGTTATATACAGAAATGTGGATGATATTGACCTTTCCGAGGCAACGTATGACCGTCCAGTTGTAGAAAGGATGTGAGTACATGAAACTCTGTCTGCTCCATGTACCCATGAATTGGTTGTTGTCGAGGTTGTTCACTGAACATTATACATTCAACGCAGATGACTCGAGTGCAAGTCTATCCGAGATCCGGTCAAGTTGATCGTGGCGATTGTACAGTCGAAGCGAGCCAGAACTACGTCCTTGATTATCTTGAAGCAAGCCTTGGATCAAACTCCTACGTCATCGAAGTGAATCTGGACAGCATCAATTAGATCACAGTGAGTCTGCCCTCTGTATTCGGCAGGAAGTCGAAGTAAGCCCGCCTAGCAGATGACTAAGAGGTCGAAGTGCCCTGTTTCGGACATCCTGAATGTGACTACTTAATCATGTCAGCAGATCGCCGATATGAAGCACACCGTTTTCGCTAATATTGATCAGGGTCAACTTCCAGGCAACGCAATCGAGCTGCTCGAGATAGTGTCGGAAGAGGGGAACTGTGGACTGTCAAGGCAGTACTGTTCATTCTTGAGCGCATGAGTATCTTTGATAAGCTCAGAGACAATTTGCATAGCCTAAAAGCAGTGTTGTGGCTCAATTTGCTGGAGGCAATATCGTGTATGGATTTTTGAGTGGTGATCGTGTCTTCAGGTCGTGATTCAAGTTGGGATGTCGAAAAGCGGATGATGTTAGACGAGACGCGTCCTTGAGCGACGCTCCGAGAACGGACCGGGCTAGAGGGTGGACGCGCCGTCACGTGCATGACATATGTTGCTGGGCCAAGGTGGGATGAGATGGCGATTATGTCTGCAGTGCGGGCAATTACATTATGTTCGGTAGTCTCACGTTCCTTGCGACCGTCTCGACAACAAAAATGTCCTCTCATGATCCTCAATTTGTGCTGTGGCCAGGGCAAGTATGTTTGGACAGAATCGGTGTTGTTGATATTGGATATCGATCAATACTGCTTCAAAGACTTGAGCCACCCAGAACTCCGAATACGTGAACCAACAGATGTTTGTCAAGATGTCCAGAAAGCGGATTGACGAGTACAACAGCGCGCTTCCTGATATTTTCAGAGCAGCGCGCCAAAACCGATCGCAACAAGACTCCAGAGGCCGCGATCCGCTCGTCCCTCTAATCGCAGAGCTCGTGCACTTGATACTGCCGAAGCAGCGGAAGCCGTCGCAGTCCCGGTCGCAGAAGTACGGCCAGTAGAGGACTTCCCAGTGGTACCGGTCTTTCCAGAACCTGTTGTTGTAGATGCCGCGCCGGACGGCAAACTACTGGTAACCTGTTCCCCATCCACGGCGGTCGAGACCGAGAAAACGGGCGTGCCGTAGCTGCAGACCTGTTGGCCGTTCTCAAAGAACACGACTGGGCCACTGCAACAAAGCCCGCCCTCCATCGTACCCGGGCAGCCGCTGTATGTGCCATTCGCTTCGGCTTCGGATATTTGCTCTGTGCTAAGTGGGAGCGCGTAGACGAATTTGCCGCTTGGACAGCATTGTTTCGGATCGGCTTGGCCGCTCGCAACGTCGCTCCATGAACATCCGAGGAAGTTTTGTCCGGAGCAGCACACGCCTGCTTGGGTGTAGTATACTCCGGGGCATTTAATTGGCGGCGTGACTGTATTGCTGAACGGATTTGTGGGCGAGGGTCCCGTGGGCTTTGGTGGCGGCGACGGATTGATCGTGTCTTGCGCGGAGCCGTGTGTCGGGTTATCAGTCGAGGCCACCGTGAAGGGTGGCGCGCCCTGGATAGAGGTTCTTGGTATATTCAGTGAGGGTTCGGCATAGGAGGATATGGAGCCTCGGGCTGGCGCGCCGTTGCTTTCGCTACATGCGCCTAGCAAGGCGTAGCCTTGGAGGAGCAATAGCCAGGCGTGGGCATTCATGGCGTGGAGTTGCGGCGACAATGTTTTCAATCTTCCTGTCGAGACATGACACTCGTGGTCAAGAGAGATAGATGGCGACTGGCAGCCCTAGATGACGACGCGCATAGAGGCCGCTCCATTTTAGGCATCTGACCTCTGCCACTTTTGGGGTTGAGTAACAGCGGGAGGGGAGGGGTTTGGCCAATAGTAGAGCTCGGCTATGTCGATAGAGTGCGGCTCGCTGCAGCGGAAAGGGTATGCGACTCGACGCTTGGCAGCGAAGGTTGCCACAGACGTATGGCGGCCGGAGTGCGGTGGTGATAAAGAGAAGGTGAGAGGTTCGGGTGTCCTTGGAGTTGTCAAGGGTCAAGGCGATCCACAAATGAGGGTTGCGGGTTTGCCGGACTACCACCGTTTTCGATGCCTGTCAACCGCTTGCTTGGCAGCGCTGCGATTTGATGGCATAACTAATGCGGACCCGATATTAAGATTCATCCCATGGTCTCCTTAGATACGAGATGGAGGTGTGAACGGTATTTGGGAACTGCGCATTCGACCATCCTTTTCCGCAACATTTTCTGTTCGTATGCAGTCATCAAATATCAGTATTAACCAGCCCGATGCTTGTCTAATAAAGGTTGGAGCCTTCTATGATTTCGAACTGAATGGGCCCCTCTTGTATGGTTACTTGCCCGAGATAGAAGTGGATGAACAAAATGTGATATCGACACTGGCAGTTTGACTGTTTTAGGTTGCTTCTTTGCTAGTTTCTATCTGTGACCTGCTTGATCAGGCTCTGCTAGCGGACCTTTGGTCGCACATAAGTCCGGTGTTCGTCGGGTCGGTAATAAGTTGGCTGAGTTTGTTACGGTTCCATAACCCCACTGAGATTTCCATAACGCAGATGATGGCCACCGCCGTGGACAATAAGCCTGTACAGCGTGATTTGATGTATATATAACTAAACTGCGAACTATCTTTCATCAATCTATCACAGCTTGGTAGCGGCGTTGGTGGTTTAGTGGTAAAATTGGCCGTTGCCATCTGATTGGTTCAAATCCCAGTCATGTAACATCGGCCAGCCCCGGGTTCGATTCCCGGCCGACGCATTTCTCTTTTGCGGTTTGAATGGCCGTTAGAGCTTTTGTTTTGTTCAAGTAATTAACAATGATCGAAATCAACCTAGTAGTAATTATTATGTTTACTTTGACCGCGTGCTTTGACTACAGTATCAAAGATGTAGTGTTACTGTAATAATTTAAGTACTATCCGGCGGAAGCGCCTTTCTTTTTCCGTAAAAACAATCGTGATAACTTTGGTTTCGGTTAAGTTGTGGTCTCGATGAATTGTGCGGGGTGCACCTGTTGGCCCCTGACAGCACCAGCCAGCCCCGCGATCCCCGGCCGACGCAATTCTCTTTTGTGCTTGTAATGAGGGTGACAGCTCTCTTTCTGGCCATGATTTGGTGGATTCATGGCTGAAAAGGCTCGGTTGATCACATTTTCTGGCCCCAGACAGCGGAGAACCGCCGACTTTTGACCAATGGGAACGGAGCATGCTCCACGGAGCATGCATCGCTCTCCTGCAGAGTACAGTCGTATGCAAGAGACGCTTTGAGGATTTGACATGTGAATTAGGGAATCCTGATTGACTGCCTTGTGGATGTTGCACAGCGCAGTAGTACCGCATATGTTTAGCTAGGTTAATCTTGCTTGTGATAGTGTAACTGTCGCGTCTCTTTTATCTCCTCTAACTTAGTGGTCCAGGTAGTCGACTGGTCATCTGTCACGGATCAAGTCAAGAGGAGGAAACACTGGATGACATCCTGGTTTCAAGTCGCATATTGTTCTCTCGGAGTTCAACCCGACAGCACTGCTTTTACTAAATCACCATCACAACAGGGCCCGCTCCCGCGACGGTCAGAAGTAGGTAGTGTTTGGGCTGGTTTCCATACCCGCCATCACATTCCCCCTCAAGTGAGAGATTTCTCCGCACCGGCAGCAGGAACATGCGGCATACCAATAGTCACCGTGCAGGATTAAGACATGATATGACGGGATATACGACAGGTCGTCCTTGAATTGTGGTTCAGTGCAATCAAAGAAACGACAGGAGCAATATTAGAGCAGAGTACATCAACGCCAAACTCAAATTTTTACACAGAAAAAGGCTACTCACTTCGCAAGGGCGGGAGATACGATAGGTCGTCCTTGAACAGTGGTTCAGTGCAGTCAAAGAAATGACGGGAGCTACATGAGATCATAGTACACTAACGCCAAATTCAATTCTCTACACAGAAAAAGGCTATTGACTTCACAAAGGCGGGAGGACCTCCCTGCAAATCGGACACTGCAACCGATACCGCATCCATCCTTCCAAGCAAGTGCTGTGGAAGATATGCCTACAAGGCGTGACCATATAGCCCCTCCTCAGCAGAACACCGCCTCCAATGCCAGTCCCAGCAGCACTTCCACCACCCGCCCCGCCATCGCCCTCATCCGCACCCGCGGCTGGTATGACGGGTACTTCGAGTGCCTGCATGCAGATAGCGCAGTCGAAAACCTTGACGCCCTTGTCTCTACTCTCGCCCGCCTTCCTGGTAACGCTGGTGGAGAGCACAGGCGATGCGGGCGCAGTCTCGTCACCAGCCAGGATCTTACCGCCCGAGGGGAGGGCGGCACCTTCCTCGTCCGCACGGAGGACTGGGTGGTAGTCGTAAGCAGCGGGGACCCAGGCGCTGCTAACGAAGAAGCGAGGACCTAGGTACTCCTGGCCGAGCAGGACGACGAGCTGTAGCCACACCCAGGTGGCCAATGCCAGGAAGGCGCGGGTGCCGGGGGTCACAAGGAGGATATTGCCGCGAACTAGGTAAAAGTAGGCGAAGGGGAGGAGGCGGAGAAGAGATTGCCCGACAACGTAGTCCCAACGGAGAGCGCGCCGACAGTTGCGCATTACGTTGCGGTAGATCTGGGGGACAAAGAAGGAGAAGTAGGCTCCAGTAAGGATCTGAGCGTATATGGATCGAGGCAGGACTGGCCACGACGAGGCATTGATGGACAAGAAGACAAGACCGAAAAGGAGGAGGTAGAACCGCACATAGACAGCACCGAACCCATAGCGGGATAGACTCGTGTTTCCGGCTGTGGTATTGTTCGGTGGGTTGTCGTTGGGGGTATTCTCTGCAAGTTCAGCGGAGATGTCCTGGTCCGAGGGGATGATGATAGGGGTGGCACCGCTGGAGACAGCTTGTCTGGCTGTCACGGGACGTGGAAGAGTGTCGGCACCAGCGGCTGTGATCACAGGCGCCGAAGAGGGTGTAGTATTATCTGCTGCCTGGGTTGCAGTCTGCGCTTGTGGCTGGTTGTTTATGTTGCTTGTAGTAGCGTTCTGTCTCTGTTCCCTGTTCCTCTCGGTAGCCTGCACCGTCCATATCTCTTTGAGGAAGCCCATGCCAAAGAAGATAAGAGACAGAAATGCAAGATAGGCGGTACCCAACAATGGCAATGTAGTGGACTCTACTTGGGTGCCGAAAAGGGAGAAAGCGACAAGAGTAAACCCGTCGCCCATGGCCATGATGGCGATTGTGTAAAAGCTGATCCGACTGCGAGTGGAAGGCGTCGAAGCATCTTTCATCTGCCTTAGAAGCAGCAGCAACTGCGCAGCCATGGTAGCAGTGAAGATCAAGATATGGCGTCTTGCTATCTTGACGTAGACCTCCGCCTTAGGGCCTTTCAGGTGGGTACCCTCAGCCGGAAAATAATCCGGCGGCCCTTTGGATTCGATGATGAAGCCACAGTCGGGAGAGAACGCAACCATTGAGAAAACCATGGACGGAGCGGAAGGTGCAAAAGGTGCATTTGGGAATCGAAGTTCCTCTTCGACTGTTTTTAGGACTGCGGCATTCTCAGCCCGAGTCCGTCCAAAAGCCCCGTCAAGTTCGACGGGATGTTGTTGTAGATACACCACGTATTCGCAGTGAGGCACAGATAACAAATCTCGGCCTTCTGCATCTGATGACCAGGGATAAATGACTTCGCCGGTCTCTTTCTGTCGCCTGATCGTATCGTTCAGGCTACGGTTCAACAGCTCTTTGCTGAAATGGAATGCATGGTTGGAGAGGGCGAAGTGCGGCAGTGCAAAGATTCCCGCAAACTTCTCGCTGGTCGTCGTCAAGACAATACCGCCAGTATCAATGAGATGGTAACCATGTAACCTAAACTCCCACCACTTTCCGTACGCGGTGTCTTCGCCGATGACCAGCTTCGCGCTAAGTTCCTGTATGGTTTTGTTCCAGGTGGAGTCTCTTTCCTCCTTTTCGTTGAAATGTATTCGAATGTCTCCGGCGGTGGCGCTCAGGTTGAGGCTCCACTCGTCTGAAGCGTATGTATTGTGCCCGACAATGGCTGACAGGTTGACCGGAGGACCGCCATAGCTTCTCGTTCGCGCCCAGTTGCCCTCAACGAAGCCGCTGATGTTATGATATAGCAGGGGCGTCTCTCCACCGGCGCCCTCGACCAACTTGTCCGCCTCCTCTCCTAGCACGCGCCTTGCCTGTTGGCGCGCCTGGTCTCGCGCCGGAGCCAGCAGGTCCCAGTGCAGCCCATGTTCTTTCTTCAGACCCGTGAGATTCAGACCCTTTGCCTCGTCTTCGGGTCTGGTCAAGTCGCCGAAGGTCGAGTTCACGAGCGTTTCGAGGTCGGCGTATTCCTGTTGAATGACATGGTCGAACTTGAGGGACTCGCCGGGCGTTGGCGGATCAGGACTCAGGTACAGGAACAAGAGTATGCATACGAAAAGGAGAAAGGGAGGGTTGCTGGCCATCTATTGCGCTGCGACGGCATCTGGGCTTCTGGATCGTGAAGGGAAGCTTACGGTAGGGCGGCGGTGACGCAGGCCACTGTTCCCGTCCGAAGTTGCGGTCACGGGCGTGCGAAGCCTGGAGCACGCCTGGCCCGCATCACCGAGGCACTGCCGTCTTCACTTCACTGCCGTCTTCACTCCACGGCCGTCTTCACTTCACTTCCATCTCCACCACAAACGTCAGGAATGCATTGCGCCCTTTGCACCGCGTGAACATCCGAGTGTGGCGGCAGATTGATGCGAATCCTGATCCGGTCATCGAAAAGCTGACTTGCGCTCTTCATTCGTTGCCGCGCGAACAATAGCAAGAGTGTCTCGGGATCTCTAATCTTGCATCACCAAGTGAAGCGGTATCCATGAGTTCAATATCCAGCTGATTCGAACACACTGACTACTTATGGAAGGCGCTCGTTTAGTTAACCTTGTAGCTCACGAACACCATCAAGCCCAGGTGATGACCAAAACCGAATAGGCGGAAAGCAAGCTGCAAGCGCAGCAGGGGAAAGGAACGTCTGATCCGCGTGGGTTCAGGAATGACAGGTGATAGGCAGTATGTTCAGCCTTGGTCGCGGCTCCTGCTTACCCGTTTGGGCTTCTGGTATTGTGCTTCTACTTCAACTGTCTCGAATTCGTCTAAAATTGTCCGCCATTGTTTCTGCCCTTGCTATTGTTCCCAACGCCTCATCTATACTGCCACTCGTTCGAACTTTCCTCCTCCCACCCAACTTATCACTCCGCTTACTAGGCAAAGCCACTTTCTCGGACAAAGCCTTCGTCGTCGCCGTTCTTCAGTCACGTTCTTTTCCGAGTGCCCTGTACCGCATGCACTTCCGTGCCCAGAAAGCCTAGACACGCGACCACACTGATCATTGCCAGCTTGCCTTGGAAGCTGGTATATTCTCTGGAGATAGGGGCATTCCGCAATATCCAAGTGCTCTTCCAACACGCCGGTACTGCTGCAGTGTGGGCAAATTCCATACAGTACTTGCATCATGTCTGCCGGAGCCGTCGATCCCTTCTACCAGACCGTCAACTTCACTGGTCCTGATGGCGAGAGCGTTCCTGTTCCAATGGACGATCTCGCTGCCTACGTTGAGTACGGCATCGAGATCTGCATCAACTACGCCAGTCAAATCGGAGCCTCGGCCATCCTCTTCGTCCTTCTTGTCATTCTGACCAAGCATGAGAAGCGTCGCTCTCCTATCTTCATACTCAACTGTCTCTCCCTGGTCGTCAACATCGTTCGTTC